GGTCTCACTGAGTTGTTTAGGGACTCACTGTTGCTGAGGCTGCCTTTAAATTCAGGATCTTCCTGCCATTGGAGCCACTCTGAAGCCACTGGGATTACAGGCGTGTGCCACCATGCACATCTTTTTCGTTCTTTTGTTTGCTTCATCCTCATACAACAACATGGACATTGGCAGTTATTTTATGTTGATTAATTAGGGTCAGTAATTTAGTTGTTGATAGATCTTTATTTTATTAATTTAAATGAGGTGCTAAGAATCTAACCCAGTGCCTTACATGTAGTAGGCAAGTGCTCTACCAATGAACCACAACTCCAGCCCTCAGTAATTTCTTTATCAACACAGTATGGGTTTAAATACACTCTTCTATGATCTAATACGTTGTAATCAAATCAGTTTCTAAAGGCAACCCAGAATATTATTGAAAAAACTGTTTACTTAAAAAAGCAATGATATAATTAAGTTATGGGTTGCAAATAATACTCTCAGTGTTTATAAACCTTCCCAGGTAGTCTCTAGGAAGATTTCCCATGTGCTGTTGAATGTAATAAGACCAAATTCCTTGAACATCACTGTGTATATATCCTAGATATTTGGTGCTATTTTTTGGACTTATTATTTGCTATCTGGGATAGAGTATCATGTCTACTAGGTGCAGACTTGTAGTTTACCATACCAACTTAGAGTTGCCACATTTGTCTTTATGTTCAACTAGTCCATAGTGAACTACTCCATTTTATTTTCCAGTGACAAAACTGGAAGTATTGACCAGATAGCCCAGCTGAGGATATAAGTATTTACTCTCTCTGAACTTTTAACTTGTTCATGCACTACTCAACCTACATGTGCACCTATCCTATAGCTTATACATGATATCAATGTATATAATTATTATTTTTTTAGTGTTACCCTTTTAACTCATCTAATGTCTCCTGGCTCATTATTTTCTCAATCTTAATCTATAAAATAGAATATTATACCTTCTATATGTATATGTTCAAACTATTTCTGTTTTTATTATCTCCGTTGATTCTTATAGTATTGCTGCATATCCACAGAGTTACATACTACAGAATTCAGTCTGGGTTGTATAAGCAGAAAGAGTATATTTGAATGCTGCTCACCTGGAAGTGAAGCAGGGAAAGTAGTGAGGCTAAGAAATAGTTTCAGCAAATAGTGCCATTGAAAGTGCATGCCACCAACACATTTGGCATAAGCCTTTTATATTTCCAAACAACACAGCAGCATCATGTTTACACTTGTCATGATACAGGTCTCCCTTATAGACATAACTACAGGGCAACCCTATATCTCTTCAGTTCCTTCAGTTAGTTCTACTAGTGCAGGCTCTCAAAATGTTGGCATTTCCTTTAGTTTAGGCTCTATTCTGTCTTGGAATTCTGTAATTCTGTACCCTTGTCGAGTGAAATTGCAAGACTAAAATCACGAACACATCCTATATAAAATATACCAAAGGGAGAAAACATTGAGTTAATATGCATAAACTAGATATCCTGAAAAGGGGGAAAAAACATGCATAACTATTAAAACTCTTATTTCTACAAGTGTTTTCTACCTGTTTAATGGTGTATTTGCCCTAAGGGAGCCAAAGTATGTCACCTGGTACATTGAACTTCACTTATAGTATGCTGGCAGACAGGGAAGATAAATCCAAACCTAAGTGTATGTTCAAGTGAGAATACATTGTTGTGCTGCTCTGATAAAAGGAGATCAATGTAATTAGCATCCTACTCTGCAGCTGGATGGTCCCTCATGATTGAATGCTGCTTCAGTCAATTTGGATACTGTGTAGTGTTAATAAATAGGTTAGCCATGATAAAAAGCTGTCCGAGATGTTGCCTTTACCACTGTGGTCACTTTGCTTATAAGCCCATCAGTTAGCCCCGGACTACTGTCAAAAGTGTCAGACCAGGGCTGGAGTTGTAGCTAAGTGGTATAGTGCCTGTCTGGCATGTGTGAGGCACTGGGTTCAATTCTCAGCACCATATAAAAATAAATAAATTAAATAAAGGTCCACAACAACTAAAAAAAAAATTTTTTTTAAAGGTGTCAGACCAATATTTTTTGGGGGAGAGAGGGTACTGGGGATTGAACTCAGGGACACTCGATCACTGAGCCACATCCCCAGCCCTATTTTATATTTTATTTAGAGACAGAGTCTCACTGAGTTGCTTAGTGCCTCGATGTTACTGAGGCTGGCTTTGAACTCATGATCCTCCTGCCTTAGACTCCCAAGCCACTGGGATTCAGTCCAATATTTATACAGTGATTTTTCACATATACCTGTTTTTTTGAGTCTCCTGTCCAGTAAGCATTCAGGTAGAATACATATATTATCCCTCATTCTTTATTCAAGATATCTATCCACATATGTCTTCCCAACCATCTTGTTGCCAGTCCTTGTCTTTCTAAACTTTGGCTCTTTGTAAATCACTATATCTCTCAATGTAAGCTATCTTTGGTCTGGGGTCAGCTGGTCCATGAGATAGATGTATCCTCAAAGAATGTTCCCTACCATCTAAGTAGTTGTAGTTGTCCCAGCATCACATCAATACTGGATCAGTGTGGTCCATAACTTATACCATCTTCCCTGGGCAAACTGGACCTAAGATGTGCCACATGAAGCTCATCTGTCAGGGCTTCGTCTGGGGGAGTTGTAAAGCTGTAACCGTCTATCTCCAGCTACTACCCTATTATATCAGTCCATCTGTACCCCTTTTCTCCTCAGACAACTGGTCATACAGACTTTCTCATGTGATTCTAAATGTGGGTTGAGTGAAGGACAGCAGATGTAGTAAGTATATTAAGAATTTAAGCTTCTTACTCACACTCAAATATGCTACTTACACAACTTTCACTTGAGGACACTGTTCTGAGCATATTCATCTTTGTAGTCAGGTGAATCAGATAATACCCAGTTCATGAGTCCTGTGGTTAGATAGTATGCTTTGCTCAAAGTTTCAGAGTTATACATATGGCCAGGTGTTTGGTCCCCACTAGGACCCAGCATCAAGCCAGATTTATTTATTAAAAGGAAAACTTGCTGAATAGAGTATGACTTGGCCCCCAAACCTTGGGACTTTCCACTTTTCTAATTTGTCTCCATGTATCCTATTCAGCTATGAATATTCCCATTGGTCACAAGACTGAGGAGAGAGTTGCTTGCAGTCTGCCCTGGCCCATAGGGAAAGCTTTTTCTCAGCTTTACTTAATGTTGGTAGTTTTATGTGTCACTAATATGTTAGGGCAGTGCATTAAAGGTGGCATGTGTTGCCTCCAAAATCCAGTAGGCATCTTTTTTTCCTTTTTTTTTTTGGTTTTTCTTTTTTGGTAGAATTGATGCAAAGTACATTTTTCACTTTGGAAGATGCATCTAGTTCATTGCACCAATAGAAATTTTACTCAGAGAGCAGGCTTCTGAATTTTTACAGTATTTATGTTCTACCCTCTGGCACATACTTATCTTACCAGGATATCTTTAGGTACCTATTAGTTTCTGCTAACAAATCAATTAGCATGATGTCATCTTGTCCTCTGAGGCAATAAAATGATTAATGTTCCTGTGGACTGGGTGAAGGCACAAGTCTGGAATTAGCTAAAAGTATCCTGCTGCCCTGCTAGGTGAAAACAAGTAGCTTTCTGCTCTGTCTGCTTATTAGAATAGGAAAAAACACATTGTTTGTCAAATCAATAGCTGCACACCAGATAAAGAGATGTGTTGATTTGCTCTGGTGGAAACCACATCTGGATCAGCAGTTGCTATTGGAGATGCATACTGATTAAGTTTGTGGTAAACCACTGTCATTCTCAAAGACCTTAACATTTTTTGCATAGACCTAACACACAAAAACTCTAGATAGGGCAGAGGGGTGGGAGGGAAAGGGAGGGGGAAGGGAGTTATTAGCAAGGACGGTGGAATGTGATGGACATCATTATCCAAAATACATGTATGAAGACAAGAATTGGTGTCAACATACTTTATATATAACCAGAGACTAAAAAAAAAAAAAAAAAAACTGTGCTGTATAAGAAGAATTGCAATGCATTCAGCTGTCATTTATTTTTTTTAATCAATTAAAAATTTTTTTAAAAAAGAAATGTTATAGGTGTCACTCATACCTTTCAAATCTCCATGATGGCATTAATCTTTGTGCTTACTGCAAAAGAAGCAGCATTGTCATTTGGCAGAGAAGTTCAAAGCTTCTCTCTTCAGTTCATCTATTCATAATAATCCATATCACAGTAGTCCCCCATTACTCAAAGTTTTGCTTTCCACAATTATAGATACCTTAAGTCAACTGCAGTCCAAAAATATTATGTGAAAAATTCCAGAAATAAACACTTTGTAAGTTGGGAAGTGGGGGAAAATTTTGTTTTGTTTTGGGTTGTTTTTGTTTGTTTGTTTGTTTGTTTGATACCAGGGAGTTAACCCAGGGGGCACTTAACCACTGAGGCACATTCCCCAATCCTTTTTTATTTCTTATTTTGAGACAGGGTCTCCTGAGTTGATCATAGTGTCCCACAGTTGTTGAGTTCTGCTTTGAACTTGCGATCCTCCTGCCTCAGCCTCCCAAGCCTCTGGGATTATAGGTGTGCATCACTGTGCCCAGCAAGACTTCATAAGTTTTAAATTGTATATAATTCTGAATACCGTGATGAAATCTAGTGTAATTCTACCTGAAGCCAGGAAGCATCACCTTTATTCAGCATATCCACAATTATACACTACCTGCCCATTAGTCACTTAGCCTTTTCAGTTATCAGTTCAACTGTGGTAGTGTAGTGTTTTTATTCACATAACCCTTATTCTACTTAGTAATGGCCTCAAAGTGCCAGAGTTGTAGTGCTGTCAATTTGGATGTAAAAAGAGAAGCTATGATGAAAATTCTTGACTTATTAAAAGAAAACCAAAAATTGAGGTTGCTGAGATCTGCAATACAATAAGATACTGAGAGAAAGAGAGAGAAATCACATTCACATAATTTTTATTACAGCATAAACTTTTATTAGTCATTATTATTAATCTCTTACTGTGCCTAATTTATAAATTAAACTTTCTCATGGTTATTTAAATATAGGGAAAGCCAGATAGGTTTCAATACTAGAAGTTTTGAAATATATCCCCACAGTTAAGGGAGGACTACTGTACATGAGTCCAGGCACAAATGTGGAAATTCTGTCTATTTGTGAGTATGTATTCCATGTGTAAACTCAGGTTCTAGACAGGTAAGACTCCATTTGTGTTTGACACTCATGAAGCCTTCCACTTAACCGACAGGATGCCCAGGTATCCCTTGAGGATTAGCATCAGTTCAGGTACAACATCTAACAAATCCTGAGAGCTTTGGTTATTTCCATTTCTCCTCCAAAGTAGCTGTATATCCATTGGGAAAGGGCAGAATGGCAATTTTAAGTTACATGACGAGATTATTGAATACTCTTTCCTTAAAGGACCCAACCTCTCTCCTTTAGTTAGAGTCTGTAGACCTCCAACTGACTCAGCTAGGCCAAGAAGAGGGACTGTTGGTACAGTCATGCTGGATCACATCAGGCCTCTGTCACTTGACTGACAGCTCAGACCAGAGTTTCCAATGCTTCTCAGCTATTCTGGTTCTAGGAACCCCCTCATTAACTGTCTATCACCAAATATCCCTATAACTTAAACCATTACTTTGGTCTTCTTGCTTATTATGTTCATCATGCATTATTTGCCTCCAGATACTTACTCTGTAGCCTCAACTGTTCCTGACCCTCATGAAAGTCAGGAAGCCCTGAGGCAGCATCTGCAATGCTGACTTTCCTGTCTGTGACCGCACGGGGTACAGCTAGGAGGTGGGTATGCAGGAGACATTATAAATATCCCTAAGTCTGTATTTTTTCAGAATGATTTGGCATCTAGGCCTTTTGATATTTGTTCTATGCAGAAGGTAGAAACTCGGTTACCTTTAGGGCCTAGGAGAATGCCATTTACAGGTGCATATTTTGACAACTGTGATGAAATTTCCAGTTATATACTTCAGGTATCTTTACCTAGTAACATGTTACAACACCCACCAAACAGAGAAGTCAAATAACATCTGAGTACTTTAATATCTTATAACCTTGTGATATAGTTAGAACAAGATTCTTAATAGTTTCATTATTAATCTAAGAAATATAAATCACAATCTTGACAAAATGTTATATGCCAACCATATGTGCAATTTTCTATGTGCAGTATGTCTCATTATTAAAAATGAACCAACTGCTTTCTTAGTGTTTCTAAAGCATCCCTGAATGGGATTTTTGTCTTCCTCCCAAGAAGGGTTTGGAGACAGGGCTTCTAGGTGGTTTACTAGAGGAAGGCCTGGTGATTGAAGCCCAAACTCTTCTGTTGTTCATCTCAGTCTACACTCTGATGCCTAAGATAAATGGACATCTGAAGATTGCTACTTACTTATTTTTCCCTTTTTTCCACCCACAAAAACAAACAAACAAAAAATAGTTGTGAAGATTAACAGTAATGTCTCTTAGAAAGCCAGCTCTTTTTGTTCCTATTCTTTCTCCCTCTCTGGCTTTCTCTCTTGTCTTCCCTCCATCCGTCCACCCACCACCTTCCCACTGCATTCACAAGATACTGTCCATTTTTAAAGTACAATATGAAGGAGTTCTTAGTATGATTTAGTGCAGGCCCAGCTGCTATCTCTTCTAGGGGTTTTGCTGGAGGCCAGAGCTTCCCGACAGCCCTGACTGTGGAGAGGTGGAATGTGGCCCTGACGTCAGGGCCGCTCCTGGGAATGTTTTGCATTCCTCTTCCTGGCAGTGGTCAGGTGGCTTCCAGCAAGAATGAAGGACAACAGCTTCCAGAGAAGAAAAAAAAAAGAGGAGGAAAAGAACAGTTTATAATCAAAGTATTGTGGGGGAGGTACTTTTATTCTCAGCCAAAATTGAAATTAGAACCAGATGTCTTACATTTTGATGCTGCACAAACGCTAAATACATTTATTAATGACTGTAATAGCTGAGCTGTTTGGCTTTTCACTGAACTTAAATCTTGAAACTCTCTTTAAGAAGTAGGGAAATTTTAACTGTGAAAGCAGCTTTCTAAATATAAAAGCAGGAACCCTGATGAGTGACCCTATAGTTAATCTAGAGACTGTTTTAAGGTTTGTTAAACTTCTGAAAAGTCAACTTCTGGAGCAAAAAATCTCTGTGATCCATTAGGGTATTTTTTGCCAATTGCTGTGGTACATGCCCATGACAGCTACTCAGATGCTGAGGCAGGAGATAGCAAGTTGGATGCCAGCCTTGGCAACTTAGCAAGACCCTATCTCAAAAATAAATAAATAATTTTAAAATAAAATTACAAAGGGCTATGGAGTAGCTCAGTATTAGAGGTCTTGCATTTAATCCCTAGTACGGGGTGGGGGGGTGGGGGGGAATAGTATTTTGTGCTATTCAAATAAATTCAAGCCATTCTTTGAAAAGAGGCAAGTTCTATTTTAGCCTTTGTTACTGTTTTTTCCTCAAATATTTGCATTTCCAATGTTATTACTTCCCATTATATTACTGTTCGAACCAGATATTCAAAACAAAACTTACCAAATTCTTAATATAACAAACATATCTGAGGGTGCCAGAGCTATATAATGTGTGCAACAGATAAATGGAAAGGTAAACTTGTATTTTTCTCCTACCCACTGATGTACCTTTGTTCAAATTCATTATACTGATTTAGCTAATCCTGATCGTGTATCTACATTTTAAAATAAAATAATCTTTAAAATCAGTGCCTTTCATTAGTTTCTCATTTGTTTTGATATAACAGCAGTTATACTAACAAGAGTTCTCCAGTTTAGGTGAAATCTATTTGAATACTTCCTGTTGTACATTAAAATGGAAAGCTGGCTTCCTGTTTCAGATCATGTTGCTGGTAAGGAATTTCCAGAAATGTGGAGAAGTGCTGACTCATAGTATACAGTGGACTAATCCAGCAAAAGTAGGGATTGAAGGGGTTTTTTGAGCTCTTGGCTGAAGCAAGCAAAATATGTGAATATAATGTTCTTTTTTCTTTTTTAGAGGAAGGAGTGACTGTTGCTTGGGGATGGGATCCTTGCTAATACCTTTAAGATGACTAAAAGTTCTTAGGTTAGGTGTGTGTCTAAGTGTATTTTTCTATAGTCTATTATTAGAATTTGGAAAACAGGTTGTTTTTTTCTGGAGTCACTAACTGTTGTCTTTTGCCACTTGCCCCACAGGTGAACCACATGGCTCTTTAGGCTACAGTATTGACTAACAGTGGGATCTAGAATATGTCAGTCACATTAACCCTTACATGCAGGGGTTGGTCCAGAAAAAACTCCTGGTATTGCAACTTTTATGTTTATTATTAGAAGTCTTTGGGCTGGGGTTGTGGCTCAGCAGTAGAGCGCTCGCCTAGCATGTGTGAGGCCCTGGGTTCGATCAGCAACACCACATAAAAATAAATAAAGATATTGTGTCCAACTAAAAAATAAATATTAAAAAAAGAAGTCTCTGAATTGAATAACAGTTTACTAAAAACTTTATATATTAGCTGGCCAGAATTGAGGGGGGTGGAACAGAGATTTGTTACCTGGCTCTGTCCTGTATGTTTTATATTTATTTGTTCAATTGTCTGAACCTAACTACTGATTAAGATTTCTTTGTCATTCAACATATTCATCAGCTCCACAAACACTACTAAATAATTTTTTGTACCAGTGCTGAGGATGCAAAGAAAGGGATGGTGTGCTCCTTGTTCACTGTTGTCAGGGAGGGATGTGAGTACAAAAATACACATAGAGTTGCTTGACCCAAAATTTAAGGAGGGTGTGCTCAAATCTATGCTGAAGTCTGGGGGAGTGGTTTCTTTTGATGTGATTCTAAGCTGCCAACTGAAAGTAGTTTGAGAGACACAAAATAAAAACACAATCTAGTGAGTGAGATAAGGAAAACATATATGTGACAGATATAAACTTCTTAAAAGGAAAAATTGGAAATATAAACAGCATACTGTAAATTATATTCATATCATGCTTTGAGACACCCAAAACAGCATGCCAGTTTCACTGGCAGTGATGACTACTTTCAAAGAAGTCATCACATCCTTCTGTTTCTGAGGTCTATCTTTCTCATAGACTGTTGAAAAACTTTAATGGTTATGTGTTAACCACAAGGAATAACAGAATCATAGAACACTCTTTTAAAAATTGTTTCTTAAAATATTGGTAAAAAGAAGAGCACATGTTATTTGAACAGAGGCCCCATAGGGAGAGGGGTAGCACACAGTGTTATAGAAGCTTAACCTGCATATTTGACACCCAGTAGCTGTAAGCTTCAATTCTCATTTGCTCCTTGACAATAAGCTTGTCACTTAACTTTTATATCTACCAGTTTCCTCTGCTAAAAGGTGAAAAATTAGATTAGCATTTGATTTATTTCCAACTCTGGCTATTGTGAATAATGTTGCTATGTACATAGGTGTACAAGTAGCTATTTAGTCCCGGCTTTCAGTTATATGTATGTATGTATATATGGGAGTGGAATTGCTAGATTAAATGGTGATTCTGTTGAACTTCTTAAAGAACAACCATATTGTTTTTCATAGAAGCTATATCTTTACCTCCTCACCACATACACACACACACAAAAAAAAACATCTGTATTGCTGGGTATCAAATCCATGGACTTGTATATGGTAGGCAAGTGCTCTCCTACTGAACTATATCCCCAGCAGCGTAGTTACAGCTTACATTTCCACCAGCGATGTAAGAGAGTTTAAGTTTCTCTAAATTCTCACAAACACTTGTTATTTTTCATGTTTTTAATAATTGTTATTGTAATACATCAACATGAAGTGGTATTTCATTTAATAAATCTTGATGTTGCACACATGATACACTTTTTTTTTTTTCAAGAGAAGATTGCACACCCAGGGGCATTTTGAGACAGGGTCTTGCTAAGTTGTCTAGGACCTCACATAAGTTATTAAGACTGGCCTCAAACCTGTGATCCTCCTACATCAGCCTCCCAAGTCCCTGAGATTACAAGCATGCACCACCATATCCAGTCAGGACACACTTTTAAATTCTGAAATACCCCAGTAAAAAATTTAGTCACTGTTACCTACAAAATGAAAATCAGCAACAAAATGCAAAGTTCCTCATCAGTATTTCTCTACTTTGATACTAGCCCTCCCTTTCCCACACATACCCATTGCTTACTGGAATGTGTATATCCTTGACCACAGGCCCCTGTAGGGGCTGCTCTCAGTGCATAGAGGGCAGTAGGCTTTTCTTAAATGTTTCCTTTATCATAAAATATATTCTTATGCATCATACAATCTTGTTTCTTCCCTATATGTTCTGTTTCTTATGTTGATAGCTATTCTTTTACATTCTTCTCTTTTTAGCTAAATTTTCTAGAGTGTGAGCTTTTACTTTGTTCTTTTAAGGAATTAAAAACATTTTAAATAATTATAGACTATTCAATGAATATTCAGAGATAGACTCTACATGAAAAAGTTATCAGTAGCGCTTCATGGATACTTGGGTCTGACAGGTAGCCAGCAGCTTTGTTAGTTCCAGTTTTATCCCAGCCTGGACATGCAGGCCTACTACAAGTTTAGATGAAGTTCTTATAGCATTCTCCTTGCTAGATTCAGGAACTTATAATAGCAATTCAACTATAGAACCTAGTGTTCCATCTGGTTGACTGGACATTCTCTTGTTAGTAATCATTTTTTTCTTAGACATCTCCAAATTATCTTTAGTAGCAGAGTACAAATGTTTAACATTTCCTTTTTTGAAAAAATATTTTTCATGTTTTATGATATTTTTCTGTCTATTCAGACAAGATGTTCTGATGGTTTCATTGTGTATTCAGATACTGTGCCTGATGTGGTAGGAAGCATACAGTCAATGACAGTCACTCACTGGAACTGAGATGATAGTGCATTTTATTATCACATCTTATGTTATTTTTTAAGTCTGTGTTAGCAAGGTGAAGAGATGTGAATAATTCATAAAACCTTTGACATCTAAGCTTTAAGATTCCATCAAAGAACTATAGGTTGGAATTATTTTAGTAATTGGAAATGCATGATCAAGAATACGAAAGGGGGTCAATGGTAGACCGCTTGCCTAGCATGCGTGAGGCTAGGTTCAATCCCCAGCACCATATAAAAATAAACAAATAAAGGTATTGTGTCCATCTACAACTAAAAAAAAATTTTTTTTTTTAAAGAAGAAGAATATGACAGAATTGGCTGTTCTCTGACCTGGCTATACATTCTTATAAGCTATATAGCAAAGTTTGGGCAGGGGGGCACTTTTATCATTCTGAAAGGAAACTGACAAAATATGCAAGATTACAAATATGCATTTGCATTCACAATTGTAAGAAATAAGCCTCACCCTAATTTAATACCCTGGCATCTTATGTGTATGAATAACTTACAAGTAAGTCAGCTTGATTTGGTACATGATCTTTAAAAAAATTACAAACAAGGCACATAAAAAATAACTGAATTAGTCCATAAGCACAGAATCTAACAGATTTTAAAATACTCCCTCTTGCCATTATATCAGATTTTTGCACCAATAAATATAACACAAATTTATCCTGAGTCATATGGGAAAAAGGAGGGTTAGCTACTAAGGATTTTATAATCTGAACTTACTATAAATAAAATACTCTTGTTGCAAGAACTTTGAATAGGGAGTATCTATTACTTGGTTCCTGGTTAGTTATTTTTGTTTCTCAATTTTTCTGAAAAATTCTAAAAAGGAATTTTAGCAATATGCCTCTTTTAATGTGGGGAGACATTTTTTAATAAGTATTATTTCACATTCATATATTGATCAACTAGCTTGTAATGATCCCCTGGCTCATTAATAATTTGGCATTTGTGAGCCCCACAGATGGCAGGAACCTGTTCTGTTCATCATTTTGCTTCTTACTGAAATTGGTATACATTCTGAATGTTTCCTTGATATAAGTTAAACAAAACTTGAATTGTTGCATTTTATGCTTGTATCAGGAAAGCTCCAAGAAATCTGACTAAAGACTATTTTGTTTCTTCTTTTTAACATTTAGCTTAAAAATCTTGAATTTTCTCTCTTAGTCCCTTAGCCAATTCCCACCCCACCCAATCTGACCTTTGGCAGCCCAATACAATGTTGGCATGAAAATTCCTATCTTACTTCTTTTAAAAAGAAGCTATACATATTTAATGCTTTGTGGGGGCTAATTCTTTTTTAATTATTTAATTTTTATTTTTTTAATTGATACATAAAAAACACTAAAATTGTACATTTTAATAGGGTACCATGTAATGTTCCATACGTGTATACACTGAAGATGTGTAAATCAAGTTAAACATACTTATCTCCTCAAACATTCATCATTTCTTCATGGTGAAGACTTCCAAAACCCTTTCTTCTAACTTTCTGAAACACACAGAACTTTATTTTTTATCTATAGTCACCATACTGTATAGTAATACATCAGAACTTCTTGTTCCTATGTATAACTTAGCATCCATGGATCATCCTTTTCCCATTCCTCCCTGCCCCTACTCTCCTCGGTCCCTGGTAACCACCATTCTATTCTCAACATCTAGGAGATTAACTTTTTTAGATGCCATGAATGAGATCATGCAGTACTTATCTTTATGTGCCTGGCTTACTTCACTTAACCTAATACTCTCTAATTCTATCTATATTGCTGCAAATGATTGGATTTCATTCTTTTTATGGCTGAATAGTATTCTGTCATGTGTATGTACCACATTTTCTTTAATCCGTTCATTTTCCTTCCTTCCTTCTACCCTTCCTTCCTTCCTTCTACCCTTCCTTCCTTCCCTCTCCCTCCCTCCCTTCCTTCCTTCCTTCCTTCCTTCCTTCCTTCCTTCCTTCCTTCCTTCCAGTTGAACCCAAGGGCACTTAACCACTGAGCCACATCTCCAGCCTTTTTTATTTTTCATTTTGAGACAGGATCTCCCTAAGATGCTGAGGCTGGCTTTGAACTTGTGATTGTCCTGCTTCAGCCTCCCAAGATTTTGGGACTGCAGACATGCACCACCATGCCTGGTTTCTGTTCATTATGTGATGGACACTTAGGTACTTTGCATTTCTTGGCAACTGTGAATCAAATACTGCAATGAACAGGAGAGTACAGATATCTCTTTGACAAACTGATTTCACTTTATTTGGGTTTAAATCCAGTGGCAGCATTGCTAGATCACATAGGAGTTCTATTTTAAATTGTTTGAATAACCTCTATAACTATGTTCTCTAATGGCTGGTTTAGGGCTATTTCTTTTCATTCTTAACATACATGTAAAGGAGGCATTATTGTAAATTTGCAGATGGTTTCCTAAATTTCCCACCAGTTCACACTGAGTTATACAAAACTGAGTTTTATGACCACAGAGTTATATGACACTGGACATGACTTCAGAAGAAAGGCCATTTTTGTCTTAGACTTGCTCTAGTGTTTAGCATACTGTAAACTAGGAATGCCAAGTTTTCTTGAGTTGTTGATGACCCTGTGAAAATTTGAACAAACTGGATGGGGCTCAAAGAATTTTCCCAAGACAGTTACAACTAATTCTGCCTTTAATATTAATGGAATGTAGGTGAGCAAAACTAAATAAATAATTAGTTACTTTTCATCAGGGGAAAAATAAAATAAAAAGAATTTTCCCAGGACATGGCTGTCAAAATTGCCAAAATATCTTACTACACCATACAGCTTCTATATAAGTATATACATGGCCTCGCTCAGAAGTAAAATAAGGAAGATACATGTAGCATTTTAAGAATGGATATTGGATCCAAGTCATGTGACAATGGGGAGATTCCTAAGTGTGAAATGTCAGAGCTGAAGCAGACTGGATAGAATCCATTTATGTCTTGGAAGCATGATTTCTTTCTAAGGGGCTTTCTCCAAGGAAAATTTGAGGATAATGTTAGTTTTATCATAGAGATTTAATTGGAGGGGCTTTGACTAATAAACTGGCAATAACCATGTTTCACATTCATTCTTTTCTTAAGCACAAATAATTAAAACCAGAAATCTCTGTCTTGGATATTATGGACCATGTGTGTCTCTAAATGAAGAAAACACAGAACCTATGAGAAGGATACCAAAAACAATACCCAGATGTTGTTGTGGTTGTCTGTTCTAATGGAGGAGATCCATTTTGCCTTGAGAAGCATTCCAGTTAGTTTTTGTAGATGGAAATCTAATCAGCAAGATAGGGAAGCATTTTATGTTAATGAAGGATGTTTCTAGTTTGTAGGAAGTCATGGGCAAGAGAAAAAGAATTGTAGGTGCAAAGTATCATCCTGTTCCCACTAGCTTTTCCATGGAGCATGTGCTTTGATTCTCCGGTTTGTGCAGCATCTGTAATATGTGACTGTATTTGCCCACATGTGTTTTTCCTTACATATTTCCTATCCCCAAATTTGGGAAGAAAATAACTTAAGTTTTATTTATTTTCTCCATTTAGTTGTCAGCAGCAGGAAGGGCCTGCTGAAGGCTTGGTCAGAGTCAGCCTAGAAATGCAAAGGGCCTATGAACTAAAGGGAAAGAGGAAGTTTTCATGTCCTAGCTATCCAAGTGACCCTAGACTAATAATTCCCTGACTTCCCTGCAGCAGAGGTTGATTGCAGTACAAATACATTCATATTTTTTAAAAAATCACAAAATATTACTATGTTTTGTATGCTCAATACTCTGTAGCTTTGCTCATTTAGCTGAATTTTTTAAATGTGGTTTTAAAACCTATCTTCTTATTTTTAATCATTATTTAATCCTAAAAAGTGTTTTATTTAATTGAGTGCTCTTGGTTTTGGACAGATTTTTTTTTCCCCCTTCAGGTGGTATAGTCTCTTTCTGAGAAATCTCTTTATTATGCATTATTTGTGATATCTACAAATATCTGATGATGTTTCTGCTGCATTGTTTTGCAAGCAACATTTTAAAATAAAGATTTAAATTTTTAAGCAAGATTTTTGTGTGTGTGTGGAATTTGAACTTTAATACTGCTCTTGTGTGTTTTTACCTAAAACCCATGGAGTTTTGACTGTATCCAAATTGAGAAGACTGAGGCATAGCACAAAGCGAGTCTCTAGTGGGAATTGTGCTCACAAAGGTCAGTTCTGGCTAAATATGGATCAGTGTGGACCCAGCTTGAGAGAAAGATATTTTTACGTGTTCAGGGAGGTTTGAAGACTGTGTGTGCTTTGGAGAGAAAGGGCAACTGACTCCAGAGGATAAAAAGGTATAACTTAAAACTTGAGCATTTTACAAATCCCACAGTCCAGCTGGGGACAAGTTGTCTACAGGTTAACTGATGCAGTAACCATCTTTTTTTCCTCACTATCTTCAGTGTTAGTCTGTGTCCATACTGTTTGGTGGTATAGCTCACCAAGTCTTGTTGTATCCACAGTCTTCACTCTTCTCTTTGTTACATAGTGTTATGCAGCCTATGGGTGCCTCTCAGATTTTTCTTTTAATACTAAATCAGCATGATCAGGCCTCAGTCTTCACAAAAAGTGCTAGAAAAAACAGAAATGTGATATGTACCATTATATAAAACCTAGTTTCTCTGGTGACAAAATTTTAGTTTTTGAGCACTGGTTGTGAAGAGCCCCTCTCTTTTCTTATATTGGGAGAAAATAAGGCAGCATTATCTACAGACCCCATTAATGGACACTGTGAAGCTGAATATCCTGAAGTGTCAGGCACAGGTGCACGGTATTCGTTCAAATCACAATTTCAAACTCCTAGAACCAAAAGTTATTTTAGGAATGAATTTATTTGAATTGATACCTGAATCATATTACCAGGTAAATATGAATTTCAGATAAACTATGAGGCATATACTACAAAAAATCATACATTGTTTATTCTGAATTTACATTTAACTGGGAATCTTGTATTTTATTTGGTAAATCTGGCAATTCTATACCTAAAGCTAGATTATGTTAAATATTATAAATTCATATTAATATTGTGTAGATTAGAAATATTCTCCCTTTTGTCATAACGTAAACCTTTCAGTTTAGGAAGCCTGTACTTCATCATTTTTTCTATACTCTCCCCTCATATATATCGAGATTAAGATGTTTCTAACTGGCATTTGTCTCACTGTTTCATGGGCCTGACCATAATCCCTCTGCACTTTTGTAATCATAGCACCATTTTGGTAATGCCAGCGATAGATGGCAGGTGAAGGTCCTGACCTCTCCTGACTAGACCTTGTGGAACTATATGCCTTTGGGCCCTCAGTGTTTGTTGTTTATGTTCTTCCTCGAGGCCATGTGACAGTTTGGCCAGCTAGAGGCACAACAGTCATGGAAACCTCCTAGCACAGTTCAAGAGGTGCTTAGGCCAAAGTATGTGTGTCCTAATTCTCTCAGGATATCAAAGCATTTTCATACTAATTATTCAAATGACCCAGAGGCAAGAGGGGAGTTGAAAGCACATGATGTCAGAAAGCTCAGAGGTTGGAAGGGAAATGAAGTGGGAGAAGTAATTATTGCTACCTTCTAAGACCTTAACAATCAGTAACCAAAGGAGAAAGAGCAGAGCTAACAACAGTCTCTACAAAGAGAGCTGCTTATAGGAATTCACACATTTCCTGCAAAAGTAATTCTAATATCACTTGAGCAAAATTTAGTCTTTTGTGGGGACCTTTTCAAAAGGAAAGTCTAATTTCCAAAGAACTTCATGAAAAGTGTAAATAAAGGCCACACTGTGAATTGTGGATGACACACCCTGTTTTGAATTGGATTTCCTGCTAGTTCTGATTGGAGGCATTCTTCCCGGACTAGGGTGAACTCAGTTCCAGTGTTTGCTTGTAAAACTGAATCCAGTCATTGTATTTGCAGTTTGGCTTCCTGCCTACTGTTAAAGTACAGAGCAAACTTAAGCTAGTTAACTCCCTATGATTCTGTGTTCTCCATAAAGAGGGAAAGGAGAGGGGAAAACCCAAGGGGTGATTGGGTTCATTTACATACTGTGCCAGAGGGCAGCTGCTGGCTGCCATGTCATCACATAACTCTGTGGAGAATCCTGATATTCCATTTACCAGAATAAGAGACAGTCTGAGGAAAAAAAAGAAGAAAAGACAGGCTCTCTTGTATAGTTCTAGCCTTGCCCTCATCAACTGAATAACCTACTTCTGTTTTATTAACTAACATAGATGAAAATATATAAGATTTTCTATTCTTCCCTCTCTCCAAAATGTTGTGTATGAAGAAAGAACTTCTGTAAAAACAGGTCACAGGGAGGGACGTGAGTGATACTGCTCACTGGTGGACCTGACTGCTCACTGAGTTACCCTGAAGGGAACACCATATCATGGACACAGTTCACTGGATATATGGGGAAGATCTGGGGGCTCACCCATTCTCCCTAGAGTCATAGAAAATATGATGAAGCCTATAGTGTAACTCCAGCAGCTCTATTAAGATATCTGGCAGAACTTGACAAGAGTGTGGATTTGAAGAAATTGTGATTTCACTAAATGTGAATGAATCTAGAAGCAAACAATGTCATCAGTCTGCATGCCATTAGGAGCAATACACTGGGAGTCATTCCCTGGAACTAAACTTAGAGCCTCTGAATTTGGGAGAGGGACAGAAAGGAGGAATGGTCAGTTCTGAGCTGTTCCTAGGATCCACTTCCTCCCACTGAAGTAATGCCATATAGTACTGAAATAACAAATGTTGAAATGTTGCAAGAGACTTGGGGTCACCCATGGCACTGGCTGACATCGCAGCATATGCATCTCTTGCTGATCTCATGCGGTTATTTAATTCTGGTTTGTCCTATTGGATTAGAGCCACATTAATTTTTCTTCAGATTTGGTTTTATATAATTTAAATAAATATGGATATTTAATAAATATCAGTAAATTTTGAGTTTACTATTAACAAGAAGTTGAGTCCTGCTCCCTTGCTATTACTCTGCTAAAGGCTAAGAATAAAATCAAAAAATTTAAGACATGGATTTTAGTCACAGGGAGTCTTTTTCCCTTTTTTGACTAGAATCCTGTAAAACTACACTAATAACATAAAGTGGCAGACAATGAACACAAAGGAAAAAAATCAAGTTTGTTCTTGGGTGTTTTATGAAAATGGTACGTTTAACTGCCTGGTACACAGAGGGACCAAATATACAAAATTGAAGAAACAGATTAAAAATATTTCTAAAGCTAACCATGGAAGAGATGGTAGATCCTAAACATTCAGGAACTTTAACAAGACAGTTTTTAAAGAAGTCAAAATGAAGCAATCAAGAACAGGAATTCTGATTTCTAGTTACGAATCTGGCATTTACAGAGCTTGGAAGTCATCACTCCTCTCTTCCCAACAAGAAAAAAAAGCTGAGCATATTAAGAATAAATACTTCCTAGCTCCATCAGAGAATTGAGGTCAGAGGACAAACCACTGCCCCCAAAATTGAATTGACAGGCAGATACAGAAAATCACAGCTTCCTGGAGCAAATTACCACGAGCAAAAATATCCTCTGAATCCAGGGTACAAAAACTTAAACTAATTGACAAAGTGCTGGGAGATTATGAACTGTGATGGCAGTTCTAATCTGTACATGCTTAGTTATTTCCTAAATCGGACATAAATCCAGGAACTGATTATGTAATGTTTGCTATATATATTTCTCATTTCTAAAAGCATGCTAAGCTGCATCATTGTTACCGAATTAAATTGTAAAGACAGAACCCAGTATCCATGATGTGGCTCAGCTTGTATAGGTAGATTCATCTCATTTCCAAACTGATATGCCTTTGGTGTCTTTGGAGATATGCAGAAAACTTGTCAGTTCCTTAATTGATTTAAAGAAGTCACTTCTGTACTTTGATGCTAATGTTGAAAAGAGCTATGCTGGGTGCATTTTTATATTGTAATTCTAATATTCTTTAAAGCAAAAATCTTTAACTTTGATACATTTTTTTAAATTTTTTTTAAGTTGTAGTTGGACACAATACCTTTATTTTATTTACTTTTTTATGTGGTGCTGAGGATCAAACCCAGGGCCTCACACGTAGGCGAGTGCTCTACCACTGAGCCACAACCCAGCCCTGATACAAATTTTTATACCACATAAAGACTGTGTCCTTAAGTTGGAGAAAAGAGCCTTTTAAACAAATGATGCTGGGAAAACCAGATAATCTATGTGTAGAAGAATGAAACTAGATCCCTATCTCTCACCCTTCATGATAGTTCACTTAAAATGGATCAAAGACCTGGGAATTAGACCAGAAAGTTTACAACTGCTAGAAGAAAACACCCCAACATATAGGCGCAGGAAACAACTCCCTCAGTAGGATGCAAAAAAAGCCCAGGAAATGATCACAAGAATTAATAAATGGATAGCATCCAATTAAAAAGCCTTTGTACAACAAAGGAAATAAAAGCATGAAGAGAGAACCTACAGAATAAGAGAAAATCTTTGCTAGCTCCTTTTTGGGGGGCAAGTGGGTTACTGGGAATTGAACTCAGGGGCACTTGACTACTAAGCCACATCCCCAGCCCTATTTTGTGTTTTTATTTAGAGACAGGGTCTCACTGAGTTGCTTAGTGCCTTTCTTTTGCTGAGGCTGGCTTTGCACTCTTGATCCTCCTGTCTCAACCTCCTGAGCTGCTGGGATTACAGGTGTATGCCTTTTGCTAGCTATTCTTAAAACAGGAGATTAATATCCAGAATATATAAAGCACTTAACACCGAAAATCCAGATAACTCAGTCAATAAATGGGCAAATGAACTAAACAGAGACTTCTCAGGAGAAGAAATACAAATGGCCAACAAAAAATGTTTAATATCTTTAGCAGTCAGGGAAATGCAAATCAAATCTACACTGAGATTTCAATCAGTTAGAATGGCAGCTATCAAGAATACAAATGATAATAAGTGCTGGAAAGGATGTGGGGAAAAGGAACCCTTATATACTTGGGTGGGATTATAAATTAGTACAGCCACTATGGAAATCAGTATGGAGGTTTCTCAAAATATAAGGAATAGAAGCACTATATGACCCAGCTATATCATTTCTCATTATTTATCTTAAAGAATTAAAGTCAGCATACTATAACAATATGCATATTCATGTTTATAGCAGCACAATTCACAATAGCCAAACCATAAAGAAAATGTGGTTGGGGCTGTAGCTCAGTGACAGAGCGCTTGCCTTGCAAGTGTGAGGCAATGGGTTCGATCCCCAGCACCACATAAAAATAAATAAAGATATTGTGTCTATCTACAAATAAAAAAAATGTTTAAAAAATAAAAACATGGCTTACATACACAATGGGGTTTTATTCAACCATAAAGAAGAATGAAATCATGTCATTTGTAGGAAAATGGGTGCAATTTGAGGAGCATTATGTTAAAGTGAAATAAGTCAAACTCAGAAAGTCAAGAGTTATATGTTTTTTCTCATGGGTGGAAGCTAGAGAGAAAAAAAAAAAGAAAATGTGGGGAAAGATCTCATGAAAATAGAAGGAACACCAATAGAATTAGAGGAAGGGAAAAGTCTAGGTATAGGGCAATGAAACTGAATAACTGTATTGTTCTATTGAATGCATGTACAAATATGTACCAGCGAATCCCACTATTATTTATAATTATGATGCAAAAAAATATATAAAAAATGAAGAGTATATCTTGAGTGTAGCTCCAGTTGAATAGAAATTATTTTCCCCAATGAGGAAAATCCTTCAATGTGACGATTAAATGCCTTTCAGTAGTTAGTGGGCAATTTAAGGTTACACTCAGAATTTGTGCATGATGATTATTTCTACAAATCCAATTCTAGATAAATAGTAAACTTTACCATTTTTTAAACATAAGAAAAAGTCTGAATTCCAAATTATCTGTAGCAAGCCAGTGAAACATGCAGTGATATATCTTGTGCAGCAAGACTGTTATCTAGATTTTTAATAACCTTTGTAGTTGTTGGTGATGTGGTTTGTTTTAGTCTTTAAGGAGTGTTTGCTCTTATTTTTCTAATTTGTCACTAGTTCCTCTTGGAGTATTCCTTTAAACAATTAGCTGTGTATCACAAAAGGAAAAGATAAGAAATTTGAGTGTGCAAAGGGGTGGGGGGAAAGTAACTTTGCAGTTTGGGGAATAATAGCAATTTAGTACTGAACAAATTTGTTGCAGTGTTGCATTTAACTACCTATAAGTATATTCCAGTGTGTTGACTTTAGTTTTAGCTGTGTATTATATTTTTTAAAAGCAATTGTGCCCTGTCACTGTCTACCGTGCATATGTATATTCCATTGGAAGTAAGAGCTTTGCAGAGTCCACTTGACCAAATTGAAGAATGCAAGCCCATTCTCTTTTGTCAGCTCCAGGGTCCTTGTGAACCAGTCACCTGGTCACTAATGCCCCACTTCCCTTTCTGTAATATGTCTATGATAGCGTAAAGAAATAATTATATATTTGTCTAAAGAGAAATGGTACTGATAACTGTCTTTTCTTTCTTTTCCAGTTTTTTTTTTTTAATACAGTAATAATTATTGAGTAGACAAGAGACTGAGGTATGGTTTGACCCAAGAGCTCCCAATACTTTTGGAGTAGGTTTAAATATGAAAAGAAGGGATAGCAGTACATGGTGCTGTGTTCCTGGGATCTTGTTTTCTTGCTTCCTATTTTGATGAAAATGAAGTAAAATAACTCGTGAATGAAAGATTCCTTTTGGTATGGTCTTGTGTCTTCCATGACCTGAATCCATTTTCTCTTTCAGATCAGGTTGACTTTATAAGCAGGAACTTTGATTGTTACTCTTACTTTTAAGTAACCTATGAACAAACACCTGCTGATAAGGAATAACATTTATATAATGTTATCTGGTTGATGCAAAAAGCTTGTTACCTTTGGGAAAAATAGACACAGATATTCTTAAGGTGGTAAAATTTCCTTGCTTATGTTGACCAGACAATTCTGATGAAACAGCAGATGAGCTTATCAAAAATGGTTGTTCTTATTGACAGAACTAAAGAACATTTCATAATTTTCCTTAATGTTAACTATCCTAGATTATGAGTGCAAATGTCAATGTGCAGCTTGACATTTGCCCAACTTCTGATAGGAATTACTGTTCTTTCACCTTATGGGATATTTTATAGTCTTGACTATCCTTTCCAACCATCCCTCTTCATGCATAGTATTTCTCTCCATTAGCTTTTCAGATTCTTGGGCCCAACCTCTTTTCTGGATACCCAAAGGGAATCACTTACCAGTTCCATCCTTGTTCCTTTGGAAGTCGAGCAACCAAGCACACTCTTTTTTTCCTCTCCTCCAAATTTCAGTTGTCCTTTTACATCTAGCCATTCCCTCAGGATACTCAGTTCCCTGAAAAACATTCTAGTTTCTGCTAAGAAGTTTGGACTGTATTGGCAGTTTGCCCAAATCTCCTGAGTTTGTTCAAGTACAAAATTCCATGAAGCCCAGTGCAATCGCTTTTGCATGTTACAGGAGAAATACATGTTCTTTATGGCCATCTGCCTGATGATGACTTTTTTCTTTCTACTTTTCTGAGTTATCTATATTAGCCATTCATGACTTTCAAAATCAGAAAATACTTCCTTTTTTTCTTACTATTGTCCCATCCTCCCTTTATTTGTATCTTAAGGTGACATAGCCATTCTTAAGTCTGCAGTGACTCCTACATTCTACCACTTCGAGAATTAATATCAGCCAAGTGTGGTGATACACACCTGGAATCCTTGCTACTTGGGAGGCTCAGGCAGGAAGATCACAAGTCCAAGGCTACCCTGGGCAACTTTGTGAGACCTTGTCTCAAAATAAAAAAGAACTAGCGTGTAATTCAGTGGTAGAGTACTTTCAAGCATGACTGCATGATTATCTGAATTCCATCTCCAGGACTGAAAAAGAGAAAAAGAATTAGTATTTTCCTCCAAAAAAATGAGCATTTCCCTTTAAATTGTCCCTTTGGGGCTCTTTGCTGTACCAAAAAACAAGTCAGTTTTTTTGTGACCTAAGAATACGCTTTCCAGGTGTTAGCTCAAACCCAGCTTCTCCATTCCTGGGCTTATCATCTTAGTAAACTAATATTTCAACCTCAGTTTCTTCAATTTTAAGCTTTTAATAATAATAATAGCACCTACTTTGTAAGGTATCCATGATGCTTTATTGAGCTATAGCAGCAACATGCCTAAGCAATGTGCCTGGCATGGAAAAGTAACTCAGTAGTCTTCGCTGTTATTTTAATGATAGCTCCATAGTGCATATGTTGAAATCAGACTCAGGTTACACAGTTAACTGTGCCTCCAGACTCACCTTGCTAAACTACTTGAAGAAGCAGCCTCTCTCCATGTGAGGGGTTTACATTCTGTTCTCACCCCCTTTAATTGCATTCAATCTTTAGTTTACACTTCTCTGCTGAGATTGGCTGCCCAGTAGTAAACTTCTAATCAACTAATTTTTCCATTGGCTTTTTCCAATTTGCATACTGTTTGCTTCCTTCACATCTTTGCCATTACTGACCTGGTTCCTTAACAGCCTGGCCACAGTCCTCACCCTACCCTTTCCCTTACTACTCTCTTGACCCTCACATGTTGCTTTCCTTCTATCCCCTGCCCTACTACTGTCTCTGTTTCCCTTTTTCCTCCCTCTTCCCTACTTCTCCTTTGGGTTCCTCACTCTATTTCCCTCCAGAGGATTCTTAATAACCCTCTCTTTCCATGGGTCTTTCATGCCATCTCTCCCAGTAGCTGTCCTTCTGCCCGTTGCATTTGTAAGGGTTTCTGTGGGTTAGTGTAGAAACCTTATAAACGATAACTGATTCATTATATTTATCATATGATGACATAAAGAAAGTCTGATGAGCTAGTTATGGCAGCACTTACCTGTAATACCAGTGACTCAGGAAGCTGAGGAAGGAGGATCACAAGTTCAAGGCCAACTGAGGCTACTTAGGAAGCAAAATAGCAAAATAATGCCTCAAAATTTAAAATAATAATAATAATAAAGGGCTAGGTATGTAGCTCAGTGGTAGAATGCCCCTATACTCAATCCTCAGTACTACAGAAAAAGTTACATAATAACATTGAGGAGGGGGATGCTGAAATTTATTTGTGAAATGTGATTACAACTGTGCAGTATTCAAAGAAAGAGGTAGAAAGATCACACCATTGTTCACTGCTTTCTGCCTAATGATTGTTTTCTCCTTTCTGCTTCTGATTTTTCCAGGTTTTATATAATGGTCATTTATTACTTTTATAACAACAACAAAAAAGTTAATTCTTGTCCTCTGTTCTTCTTTTATATAAATCTTGAAGTGATCACATCGCAGTAGATAATTTACCTAGTTACAAGTCTATCCCTTAGCATAATTTTCTTCTCTTTGCATTTGGCATTAAGAGGGTAGATTTCAGGCTGGGGTTGTAGTTCAGTGGTACTGCACTTGCCTGGTATGTGTGAGGCACAGGATTCGATTCTCAGCACCACATATAAATAAATAAAAGAAAGATCTATCAACAACTAAAAATTATTTTTTAAAAAAGAGGGTAGATTTCCCCATTCTTCTGAGTTGTATTTGTAACCATCTTTTTGATGTCATAATATACTATCTATTTAAAACAACACCTAATTTTAAATGACTTTTATGGATGTTGAAATTAATATTACCTGTATTACAGATGATGGGTAGGAGAGGTGGTGATTTCTGTTTTTAAGTCTGAGGACACCTAAGAACTTAGTTTCTGTAAGGGGTAAAATGGGCAGGGGGTGGAGGAGGTGCTTGGGAACAAAACTGACCAAATTATATTGTTATATTTTGTACATGTAGGAGAATGTAACAACAAATCCCAGTATTATGTATAAATAACATACCGATAAATATATATAAGGGAAAGAATGATGAAGGAAATGCTGTTTTTATTTTTGTTTACTTTTTAAAATTTTTTTTGTTTAGTTTTATATGGGCCCAATATCTTTCTTTATTTATTTTTATGTGGTGCTGAGGATTGAACCCAGTGCTTCAAACGTGCGAGGCAGGTGTTCTACTATTGAGCTACAGCCCCAGCCCTGTTGTTTACTTTTTGAAAGTGAAAATTAAAATCTTTGTTGTGACATTCTAGATATTTGGAAACATTTTCAATAAACTTAAGTATAATTATAAAGGATTTTATTTCTGATGAATATTATATGTCATAGATGAAACATACCTAATTATCCCACCATTTTAATACAGATTGAGAATCCCTAATCTGAAATCCCCCAAATCTGAAACTTTCTGAACACCACAGCAAGTAGACAATTCACAACTGACCTAATGTAGATACACTAAAAATAGTGTATAAAATTACCTCAAGCTATGTGTACAAAGTATATATAAAACATCAGAGTTTTTTTTATTCATACTTGGGACTCATCTCCAAGATAGGTCATTATGTATGTGCAAATATTCCAAAATTATAAAAAATACAAATTTAGAAACATTTCTGATCCAAAACATGTTGGATAAGAGATACTCAACCTCTACAACCAACATATACAACTATTTTGATATTTTTTTCATATTTTCTTTAGTTTGTACTCATTTGTATCCTTATTTTTCTAATTGTTGCAATTAAATTACCCTTGCTATTTTTCATGATCCATTGTTTTGGTTTGTGTTTTTGTTTTTTTGTTTGTTTGTTGTTTAACAAAAAAAAGTACTGGAGGTTGAACCCAGGGATATTCTACCACTGAGCTACATGCCCCCTCCTTTTTATTTTTTATTTTGAGACAGGGCCTGACTAAATTGCCTAAGCTGGCCTCAAACTTACTATCCTCCTTCCTCAGCCTCCTGGGACACTGGGATTACAGGTGTGCACCATTGTACCCAGCTACATCATGCATTTTTACATGATGTTTTATTAAACATTTTGTGCATGATTTATTTAGTATTTTTGTACTATTTTATTACATATATAATATTTCTTCACATTGTTGTCCCATAAATTATTAAGGATTTTAGTATTAAAGGTTTAAAAAGGAAAAAGAGAATACAATATCAAAGGGGAAATATTTTTTTTCTCTTTGGCTAAAAATAATATAAAAAATATACTAGAAAATAGTTGTGGAATAGAATCTGTTATTTAGAATAAGATTTGGGGTTTTTTCCTTAAGCTTGAAGCTTTTTTGCCTCTCAACCTTAAACAATTTATTTTCTTTACTATCCAGATCTAGTCACAGATACAAATGTACTTCCTTGCATTTGGCCAATATGCAATTTTGAATGGGTAGCCATGGGACTTGGCATGGTGCTGCTTGCCTGTAATCCCAACAACTTGAGAGACTGAAGCAGGAGGAACACAATTTGAGGCCAACCTTGGCAAATTGAGATGCTGTCTGAAAAAAATTAAAGGGCTAGGCATGTAACTCAGCAGTAGAGCACTCCTGAGTTTAATAGAAGGGATTGTAAGCTCCAGCTGCTTACCTCTAGAGGTGATAGTCACCTGATACAAAAGAGTATCTTTTTTATCTTGGAATCTCTCCAATTAAAAAAAAATCCATAATTCTCTACCTAGAAACACTGTTAGGTATTTTTAAATGATTCTGCTTTTTATTTATTTTTTTCTTAAAAACGAGGTAAGAGACTTTAATAACCACTTTTTGTGGAAGAAATGTTCAAATTCTAAACCTCTCAACATTGAAACAAATTAGAGAAATAGAAAATAACATCAGATACAAAAAAATATTGATGAGGACATGAAACAAATTCTCATGAACTTGAGCAGGTATGTAAATTGCTGTATTCATTAGTGAAAACTGTTTATTTAATATATACGATACTCCTCACAAGCAGCATAGACCTATAGAAAGTACTATATTTGTGAACCATGATAGCATAAGGCTACAGCTATGTGGATCCATATAGTTGAAAATCTGGGTGCTAGGAGGAAAGAGAAGGTACTTTCAAAATGAAATAAATAATAAAGTTTGAGAGTAATTGGATTTCTGTAAACCGGACACAATTTTAGTTTTATTACATTCAGTTGAACTAACAGAACAAAATATCAAATAAGTATTATATAGAAGTAATATCTGTATAAGACATCACATATAGAGAGATTTTTAAGGGAAATATGTAGAACTTATCACAAAATAAAAAAATTATGGAGGACATAAAGTACTCCATTATACTCACCATGTGTGTAAATAAAACTCATTGCAAAGACAGCCGTTTTATCTCATTTGATGTATAGCATTACCTCATCAAAATTATATCATGCTTTTCTTTCAATAAATGAAACCAAAACTAATTCTTTTTTTTTTTTTTAATTCTTAAATCACACTCTAATTTATGTTCCAGCACTTACCCACTACATTGAGGATATAACATTAGGTACTGGGAAACATAAAGCTTCATCCCTGAAGACTGTACAAAACACTTGTGGAGACAAATACAGCATTAAAGACTTGACTTTTCTGAGCCATTAAAGATACCTTAATGTAAATGTGACACTATAGAAGTGATATTTTTGGTAGAATTAACCTGTGGTTCTTGGCAGAAATGATTCATTTCATTCAATAAATATTTGTTCAGAGCCTATTTATACAGGTCATCTAGTCAAAAGATATGGAGCAGATGAATAAATAGGAAACATATTTCTTCTACCTTTAGAAGATTTTTAAATACACAAATGCATAAATAATTGCAGGTTAAGGCAGAGAATGCTGTGCAGATAATAACAAAAGCGGCTATGTTTTTTCTGTCTGAACTTAATTCATGAGAGCAGGCTTCTTGGAGAAAATGTGGAATAAACTGT